TGTTCGTACGAACCCTTCGTACGAACAAAAGTAAGAGAAATTTAGGATAAGAATACGAACATGTTCTTGCATGAGGCCCAGTGTTTCAGTGTTTCATTGCCTGCTGATGTACCTTTAACTCTCCATGTGAATGTTGGCTACCTTTAGGAAACAAACCGTATTAGCCTGGACCTTCACCATCACTTTCTTCTGTTTTCTTTCTCTGGATAATCATAATGTTTAGTAAAAGTTTTTTATAGTTATGTGTATACTGAGTTGTTGTTTGTCCTCCAACATGTCCAACAGCAGCTTTACTGACATCAGCCTGTCTGCTGTCAAATACATTCCTCAGAGCTGTCAGGATAGTAGTGTTGGTGTGAGTTTCTCTTTTCACAAATATTCTTTAACTCCCTCACTCCATTTGAGTACATGATCCTGGCTACCATCATAGCAAACTGCATTGTCCTGGCTTTGGAGCAGCACCTGCCAGTCTCAGATAAAACCCCGCTGTCAGAACGTTTGGTGAGTATCTGTGGTGACTATGTTGGTGTTGCTTTCAGTCCAGTTTACCTGTAAACAGTCTGCTGGGAACATTATGGGATATACTGTTACAATGTTAGTTATGAAAACGTTACATATTTACACAACATAATCTACTGTAATCCATGCAGGTCACTAACAGGAGCTATGATTTAAGCACACATGTTTTCACACAAGTTACATGTTAGATGGTGAGCACATGTATGTTGGTTTTGAACAATAATGTCTGTAGACTGAAATGTGACAATGGAACTTAGCTGGTTCTTCTCAGAAACTCAGAAAAATTAAAGAGGAGAGCTCTCAGCCACTGTTACTGCTGTCTTTAAAAACCCGTCTGTGTCCCCAAAACATGCCCACTGTGTCCCCAAAACCTGTCCACTGTGTCTCCAAAACCTGTCCACTGTGTCTCCAAAACCTGTCCACTGTGTCTCCAAAACCTGTCCACTGTGTCTCCAAAACCTGTCCACTGCTCTAAAAACCTCCTCTGAGACCTCTCTAACCAAACAGTTTTGGAGACAGAATAGCACCAGGTTTTGAAGTAAACCGGAACATTTCGGCTGTGGTTCAGCTGTTTGTGTACCTGAGCGCCTGGTTTCCTCAGACGGCGGCAGTCAGTAGTTTTTCTGTTCAGAGTTGGGTTTGTGCTGCTCACCTCTTCAACCTGTAGCAACAAACAGATGAAGGTTCTGCTCTGTTTCCATGCTGACACTSAACACTCTGCTGCATCTTGTTGGAGCCAGCACTCAACTGGCAGCAKATGTACAGTAATTTGTGTTTTTTAACATAGTGTCAGAATGAAGCCCTTCCATTTCTGTGCACAAGTTGACCAATCATCTTTGTTCCTCCCCCCTCAGAGAGAGACCCTCACTCAGCACAGAGGAGAGTCTGGCTCAAAATACAATCATTTTAAAGCTACAGTACAAAAGTTCATAATTTCCTTATCTAGCAACCCTGGCTGGCCTGGAAAATGCAGCAAATTTGATTCAACTGCAGTTTTTTTGCTGTTTATTCATCACAGTAAGTTTAAAAACACAAATGTTTCCAGAGATGGTTCCTGGTGAACCGAGTTTCTCTTCTCCTTGATGCTCCTGCTTAAACAGAACCCTGCAGAGCTGCTCTTCACCCCCCTCCCCCCCCACCTATAGCACTCTTGTTAGAGAAATAATTACTGACAGAATGTTCTCACATGGAAACCTGAGTCCCGCTGAGACGGTTTAACCCGTCTGCCAGAACACGTGTTCATGGAGGATTGTGATGTGTCCCAGCTTTGCTTCTGCTAAATTAATCCATCAATACCTTCTTTAAAAAAACAAAAACAAAAAAACATCATTCTCACAGTTTGAACAGAAAAAGAACAAGGATTTAGACCAGGTGGAAAATTAATTAGAATATCTAACAACCATGCTGCTGATAAAAAATTATTTAATTGAGAAGTGTAATCCAGCAGACTAAATTGTCCTCATAGGGGCGACTGCTAAGGTGGGACGATGCAGTGAAAGGGGGGCCAACAAGATAATGTCCACAGCCTACGCTGTAGTTGTTCAAGCTGTGTCCACAAAAATAAAATAAAAYAAAAGATTTTTTAGCTGACCYTTCAAAACACAACCAGCTAACTCATCTGTCTCAAATACTGCAGTGAAAAACTCATGTTTCCTTCTACAAGCCCARTTCCAATGAAATTGGACGTTGTCTAAAACATAAACAAAAAAAAAAAACAGAATATGACGACTTGCAAAACCTATTCAGCCTATGTTCARTTAAATATGTGTTCCAACAGTGTGGCTTCCTAGTAGAGTGCAGGTACTAGACTGACCTACCTGCAGTCCACACCTGTCTCCCATTGAAAATGTGTGGAGCTTTATGAAGAGACCCCAGACTGTTGATCAGCTGAAGTTGTTCATCAAAAGAGAGTGAGAAAGAATTCCAGCTCCAAAGCTTCAACAAGTAGTGTCCTCAGTTCACCACCACTTACTGAGTGTTGTTAAAAGGAAAGATGATGSAACTTAGTGGTAAACATGACCCGTACCACTGAGGGAAGTTTTATGACTGATTAACCTGACTTTAGATAACAGTCCTATATTTGATCATTTATGATTGGTTGCAGTTATTGGTTAAGAGTGTGACTAGTGTGACCAGGGTGTTATACAAATATTAAGGTTTGCTAAGGCCACATTAGAGCAGCAGCAGGAGACAGACTCTGAGGAAGAAGTGGACTTTTTACATCTGAGAGTCAACATTGTGACTGAGAACCGGTTCAGGTTGTCTGCGCATTATTCAAGCTTTCAATTTTGCGTACTTTCTAACAAACTGGTTTCTAACACTAGTTTTTTTTAGAATGTGTTCCAGCTTCAAATTCAAAATGAGTGAATATTWGCAAGAAACCATTAWAGTTAGTCTTTTTTATCAACATTAAATATCTTGTCTTTGTGGTGTATTCTCTGATTTTGATTWATGTTTTGAATGTATTTWGTTTTTGTTTAACTGAAATGAAATGAATAAACTAAACTAAACTAAACTGAATATAGGTGGAAAAGGATTTGCAAATCAWATTTTGTTTTTATGTTTTACACACCGTCCCAAYATCAGTTGAATGGGGGTTGTAGATTTAGGTCCAGCTGACTGAAACCCACTTTAACTCATCTCAACYACCCTGAGCCTCCTCAGCTGCCCCCCAGCTGGAGCACATTTTTTAAATGCAGAGCAGCAGATTTAGAGCCRTTTGTAAAAATTAATATTTCTGATCAGAGTTCAGTAGACCTGGACATTCTGGGCCTCAGATGTTTCCTACAGAACTAACTCTAGAACCTRTCAAACTAAACAGAGAACTGTGACCACCCTGAGAGACCCCTCTGTGAGAAAATGATTGATTGYATTCAAAATTCAAACAGCAAAACTGAGAACCACTTTTTTTTCAGAAAGTCYTTCATTGGACCAACATGTGGCTGTCAGCTGAGGAGAAAACAGATAAAGTTTAATGTCCTGATCATTGTGAAACTCTACAATCATCAGATCAACAAAAAAACACCAACATGGAAGAAAACAGAAGATTTTAATTAACCCGCTGTCATTTTCCCTCCTTCATTACAGGATGACACAGAGCCCTACTTTATTGGAATATTTTGTTTTGAAGCTGGAATCAAGATCATTGCTCTGGGCTTTGCTTTTCACAAAGGCTCCTACCTCCGTAATGGCTGGAACGTAATGGACTTTGTGGTGGTCCTAACAGGGTGAGTAGCAGCGGCCTAATGGCTCCCACAGCTGCTAACTGACTGGGCTGATGGGCAGCAGCCATTAATGAGCTSTGCTGTGTGTATGTGTGTGTTGCGTTACTAATGATCCAGATGGCAGAGTGTTTTCTTCCTGTCTGAGTGAGCAGAGCCTTGATAAGGTGCTGTTATCTGTATTACATGTGCAGAAAAACAGAAGGAAATCAGCAAACACTGCACAGATAACTGAGAAAAGTGCATTACGCAGAAGTGATTAAATATTTACAAATGATGAGCATCGTTGACTTCTTCAGGTTCACATGTAGAGCGTTGTGTCACTGTATGAGGAAGGTCAGACCCAGGAATGCAGAGGAGCTCCAAAGCCTGTTGTTCCTGTCAGCAGCTGCTGACCGGATGTTAAAGAGGACATACCTGCAAMATACACCTTTTAGCTGTTAAATACATTTTGTTGTGGAGTCTCTGSGAGGCAGAAAAGTTCAATCTAGTTTCTCCTGGTGCAAAGACATCTTTACATTCTGTTYGGGTCAGATTTTTCAGCCTGTCCAGTATTCTTTGTTTTCTATGACATTTTCTGAGTCTGTTATGTCMAATTATCTGTGAACTGCCTAATAAGTTCTGGACTCACCAACAATTTTCTCATCTTAATTCTCCTCTGGTTCTGGGTCAGACTCTGTAAGCTAGAAAACATAGCCCCCTCTCTCAAACTGGAGTGGACCGGTTTGGAAGCCGGAGGGGGGGCGGAGCTTGAAGCACCTTAAAGGAACCTCATCAAATCCAGCTGCTTTGAGACACGCACCAGGATAGTTGTGAAAGAGGGGCTRGTTAAGTTAGAATAAGAAGGAAGTCAGACCAAAGCTTTGTAGTTCCACTTTATAAAGACCCAACTGAAGGGTTTAAATATGAAAACGAAGAATTTAAAAGCAGGATTTTTCTACTTTAAAGTCTGAAGCAAAGATTCTCCACAAAGACTAACAAAAATGTGTAAATGAGTTTTGAAGCCATGTCAGCTGAGTTTGGAGTTGTGTGATTTATTCCTGTTGATCTGTTTGAACTGGATGTCTCAGACTCTGAAGCAGCCGGTCCAACCTACCTGCTGTTGTTTACAAGTAAACAGGTTTATTATTTTAGGAGCTTAGTTGATTAGAAAAAAAGAGTTTTTTTTTTATTGTTTTGAGATCTGTGTTAAGTCTGACTATAATAAATTCTATTGGAATAAAAACGGGTCAAAATCTTCCTGTCCTCATTTCCCACATGTACTCCAKCAGAGTAAATCTTGAATATGAGCTTCCAGTGGAGTAAGAAAGGATTTGAAAGGTTCGTCAGGGCTCAGAGTAGACCTGCTGATCCACCTGAGGAGTTTGATCTGAGCAGGATCCCTCCAGGAGACCTCCTGTTGTAGGTATTCTGGTCATGTCCCACTGGGAAGAGACCCTAGGGCAGACCCAGAACTCATTGGAAGGTTTCTGGGACCACCTTGGGATCTCCAAGAGGAGCTTGAGAGTGTCTCTGGGGAGAGAGATCTGGTTTTTCTGCCTGGACCTGTTGCTGCCAACACTGGACAGTTAGGTGKTAGAAGATGGATGAATTAGATGAAGATGCAAAGATGTGATGTGACTAGAAAAGGATTACTGATGCAGCTCCTGAGACTGGATTTTATGAAAACAGTAAGAAGCTGGCGTTCTACATCACATCGCTGCAGCGTAAATACAGGATCATCAACACTCTTAATGAAACTGATTTTATTCTCAGAAAGTTTTACTAAAACACAAGTTTAGAGCAGCAGCAGCAAAGAACATTTCTTTTATTTTTAGCTCCAGATGTGATTGTTCTCAGAGAGGCTGAGTGTGGAGACCAACATTATTTACTGCTTTTCAGAGCCCCTCTCAGTGTGTGTGTGTGTGTGTGTGTGTGTGTGTGTGTGTGTGTGTGTGTGCTAACATTTCTTACCTTGTGGGGACCATTTTTTCTGGAACACACAGCCGTGTGAGGACCCACTGCTCTTTATGGGGTCCAAAGCCTGATCCCCATGAGCTTAAAAACTGTTTTTGGGTGAGGGGTCAGGGTTAGAAATGAAAGAAAACTGAATGGAAGTCAATGCAATGTCCATGTGAAGATATAAAGACATGATGTGTGTGTGTGTGTGTGTGTGTGTGTGTGTGTGTGTGTGTGTGTGTGTGAGGGGTCAGGGTTAGAAATGAAAGAAAACTG